TATCTAGGTCTTGGTCCCTTCTAACATATAGTCTGATGCTTGACTAAACATAAAGTCTTCCATCTGCTCAGAAAGAAAAATATCTATTAACTTTTAATTATTGCTTCTGAATTATCCCTTCTGTCTCTCTTCTGGTAATCTTATTTTAAATGGACAGTAACTTCTAGAGTTGTCCTCTCTGTCTCTTCTTTTCTCCCATCATTTTCATCTCTTTCGCCTTCCCCACTAAATACCCAGTGTATCTCTCTCATTGGAATCTACTTCTCCAATTTCCTTCAGTGTCCACTCTGTTGTCCCTATATGCAACTCAGGCAAACTGTCCTGATCAGTTTGTTTCCCTCCCATGGCTGTTAATCTCGTTTCACAGATGCAAAACTCTCTTAAATCTTATTGAGATCACCATTCAGATATTGCCTCGTTTTTTCCTCCTGTTTCCTGCAGCAAATCGCTTTTGCAGAGAAGCTTTCCCTCTAGTTGCTCAGGGTCGCCTCCTCATCAGAGCCACCAGCACTGCGCCGCTCCAGGAACCCGGCCTTGGACCTCTCTTTACCTTTAATCTGCCTCCTGCCTTGGGTCAGTTGTCCCTCAGCGCTGTCCCTATGACTTCTGACTTCTGGAGATGGCGACGGTGAGAGAGCAGCGGCAGAACTGGAGGTGGAGAGGTCATTCAGAGGCTGCTTTGCAAAGTTCAATTCAGCAGGTGGTGGTGGGCACACTCTGCAGCCTGAAACCACCCCTGTTCCCGATCGGGGGCTGTACACTTGTAGTATTGTGACATGGGTGTGCACATACTACTTAATAAGTATGCTCACATACCTCTTGCTGACCTCTGCCTAGAGCTCTGCTGATATACGGCTATGTCTCTGGAACTGAAATTTGGGCAAAGGTCGTACCCCTTTGGCCTCCTGCCTCGATGGCTGGCAGAAGGGCACAGATGTGGGGTCAAAGTGCAGAACTATGAAGGGGGTGGTTCTTTGTGTTAAGGCTAAAGTTCTATGATACCCGTTCATACCATCCCTGTCCTCAACCCATGGACTCCGTGCCTGACTAAGGCAAAGAAGAATCATTGACTCCACTCTCTTCTGACCATCCAGTTGCGTGGGGTTTCACTTTTACCAACTATTCTCGTGCTGCCCTTGTTTGTGCTAAACAGATTGTTCCTTTGGAGGGTACAGAGAATGTAAATCATTCTAGACCTTGACCTCGTAGCATTGGCTTAGATCCAGCTGAAGACTGACCTGGCAATTGTTCTCCCTAACACAGTGGTTCATAAAGTGTTGTTCCTGGACTTGTGACCATCATCAGCGTTACCTGGGAACTTGTTAGAAATAGAAATCATCAGGCCTCACTTCCAACCTGCTAAATCAGGAATTCTGGAGTTGGGGCCCAGCAATGCGGATGCTGTCCACGTGAGTCTGATGCACTCAGGTTTGAGGACCACAGCTGGAACAAAAGCTGAAACTACCGCTATGCCTTCTCCAACTCAACCTCATGGGCAGCTTTCCCAAAACGTGTCCCGAGAGATGCCTTTGAAAAATGTAAAGGCTCCCTGGGGATTTGGGTGCCCATTGACAGGTTCCTAGACTTGGTTTTCGTGTTTACTTTTCATTTTATTTAACTCAAAATTTTCCAAACTGACTCGACCATAGAATTCTTTGTGTCAAACGCTGTTGGCCCTGCCTCATTATCCCTGAGCGTATCTTTCCTTTTCCCAACTCAAAACCCTCAGTACTTGAAGCTCTGCATGTTTGAGATCCAACTTCCATGAACTTGGTCATCATCAAGTGGACTTCTCCTGGCTTAGCATTCCCACTGGGTCTTGGCTAAAGTCTCAGACAAGAGTCATGACTGCACTGTTTAGACCATGGGGTGAGGCGGCTAGGGTGAGAGTTGTAGAAAGATTGTGGATTTGGAGGCAGGTGGCCCTGGTTAGGATCCAGGGTCTGCCACTGACTAGCTCCATGAACTTGGGAAAGTGACTGTTTTTCACAGGGCTCTTGTGAGGAGTAAATGAAACCAGGTGTGCATGACAGAATAGACATGGGGGTGGAGTCAGAAGACCTGGATGCTAGTGCTGGCTCACTTATCTGTCAACTTCACACCTTTGACTTCAGTTTTTCCATCAGTAAAATGGAGGGAGTAATAATAATACACAACTTACCCTGCTGTAGTGATTAAAATTTTAAGTAAATAGTATATATGAAAGCTCCTTGTAAACTTCACAGTGCTACAAAATGTTTGTTATTATTATGCCAAAAAAATTAGGCTGTGTTTTCAGAGGCTCTGTCACTCTGCCTGGCACATGGTAGGTGATCAGCAAACTTCATTTGATTCCCTTTCAAACAAGCATCGCCCCAGAGCACTAGGGCAGCACTTAGTCCTGAGGGACCTTGTTCAGCTGACAGATAAGAATGATTTGTCAGTCGCACAGGCACTGTTTTATGTTCCGTCTTCCTCAGTATTGATTTGTTTATCAAAAATTTTATTTATAAGGAGCACAAAAATAAACCAGCCCAAATTCTGCAGGATGTATCACAAGGTTCTGAATTAATGAGGTCCAAATTTATGAGAGTTCTGAATTGTTACTTCCTTTTCTTGCTCTTCTATTGTCAGATGGCGGGGAGAGAGAAAGTCCCCACTCTCCCTGGGGGCGTGTAGCGTGCTCTTCCACCACCCCATGTCCCCCTCCCCTTAATCCCCTGATGAAGATGCATTTCTCCAGGTACTAGAGTCCCGTTTTTGGAGCTGTGACATCACTTGGGAATGCGATATGGACAGAAGCCTCTTAGTTCAGCTCCAATAATTCTATTCTGTAAAATTCTGGGTTGTGACCACATATTTTACAGAAAGAGAGTTCCTTGTGGAAAGCTGTGTGCCCTGAGGAATGAGGTATTTTATTCCAGAGTGGATGGCGTGAGGGAGACAGTGGTAGAATCCTCTTATGTTCCTGATGCGCTAGGATAACAGTTCCCAGAGTGTGGTCCTCCGACACAGCAGCATCAGCATCACCCGGCGACTTGACAGAAGTGCAAAATCTTGAGCCCCATCCCATATCTACTGAATCAGAAACTCTGGGAGTGAGAGTAGTGGTGTTTTAACACTCAGGTTTGAGAACCACTGATCTGGGAGAAGAAGGAAGGGACTGGGCCAGCCAGACTCCATTCTACAGAGGAAGAACACTGTAGCCCAGGACTTAAATAGTGGGTGGAGCCAGGCACCCACAAGGGTCCCAGCCAATGTTCGTTGAACCCACCTGAGTAAACTGAACTTAGGCTCCCTCCTCATTTACTCCAGGGCAAAGGTTCTCCTTCCCAGGGGCACATCAGAATCACCTAGAGAGCTTTTTAAAAATACCCTTGTCTAGAGCTTGGCTCGGTACTGTAGTGGTTAAGTTCGTGTGCTCCACTTGGGTGGCCCAGGGGTCACAGGTTCAGATCCCAGGCACAGACCTAGCACTGCGACCACGCTGTGGCGGCATCCCACATAAACTAGAGGAAGATTGGCACAGATGTTAGTTCAGCACCAATCTTCCTCAAGCAAAAAGGAATATTGGCAACAGATGTTAGCTCAGGGCCAATCTTCCTCACACACACAAAAATAATTTAAAAAATAAATAAAAATAAAAATAAAAGTACTCTTGTCTAAGGCCCAGACCCTGACCAACTGAATCGGAACCCCTGGAGTTATGTCTGGACATCTGCATTTTTAAAAGCTTCCAGATGATTCTGACATGCACCCAGGTTTGAGATCTAATGCAGAGGGTGCCCCACTAAGAAAAACATGTGATTTAGGTTATCATTGCATTTGTCATAAATTTTTCCATTAGAAATTTATTTTACCTATTTATATTATAAAAATTACATATTTATCATAAGAAAAAACCTTAGAAAATATAGAAAGTTGAAAGAGAAGAATTAAAACTCATGTTCCAACTATCTAAAGGCAGTTGTCAGTATCTGGTGTGTTTCCTTTCAATCTTTGTTTTTGTGGCTGTTGTTATACACTGGTTTGAATTTTTTACAGCATTGTGATCATATTTAATATAGCATTTTCTGTCCACTTTTTAGTATTATATCTTATGTAGTTCTCCACATTGTTATAAGTACAGTGTTTAATACGCTCTTGTGGCACCATGACAAAAGTATGACTTTTCTCCATTTCCTCATGTGCATAGCTCAGGATAGCACTTTGAGACTCCTTTCTTCCTTTTCAGTGCCTGCATTGCAAGTGTGTTGTGAAATCCTACTTCGAATGTCAGAAGCAGAACGTTAACTCTCTTTCTCTTTGAATTTCTTCTCCCAGGGTCCTAACCTGTCCTCCGTCTTTTCCTCACCCCAACCCCACAGGAAGATGGATGCATTAGGCTGATGAGGGATAAGATCTTATTGCAGAAAGGCAAGAGAGGAGAGCGCATAAATATTTTTCCAGTGTTTTATAACCACTATTCCACTTGTCAGCCTCAGTGGATGGTGAATTTCTCCTAAGCTACAACGCTACGGGTCCATCGGATGTGGCGTGATTCATAAACAGTCACATCCATAGAGCAGTCCTGATCAGACCCGTGCCACTATGCTTCGAAAAGAAAGGCAACAAGTGAATAAGGCAAGAAAGAAAAGGAGGGAAGCTAGGACACAGGGAAAGATGTTAAGACAAATAGACTGATGTTCTGGTTCGCTCAGCCAGAAATGCCGGAATCAAGCCATGTGCCCCCTTTCCCCTCTTCTGCTTTCAACATAACCTTCCTAGATTCTTCTTTGTTGCACAATAATATATATATTATTATATATTATATGTTATATGTTGTATGTTATATATTATATATTATATATAAATTTATATATAAAATATATACATATATTTCCTTGACTGCTTCTCCCTTCTGACTTACTGATGATTTGAAATTAAGTTCCTCATCATCATGGGATGAGCTGGAGCTGCAACATTTGTCTCCTTGTTGGTGTCATGGATGCGCCAGGTAATTCTGCCCCATCTTCTTGCAGGACATTATGGAAAGGATGCTTACCGAAGTGGAGGACCTGATCTCCATAACTTCATCTCTTCTGGATTTGTCACGTTAGGAAGAGGACACACGAAGGGTACAGTGGAAACCATTTTTTACTAAAATACACAGGTTGCCTAGGGAACCCCAATCTGAAATGTGAAGATGGTGTGGAGGCCAGAGGCTTGTCTGGGACAGGAATAAATGGGGTGGTTCCATTGCAGCTTGTCCAGGAGACATGCGTGGCTTCTGACAGGAGTGACCTGGAGGTCACAAGTGTGACTTTAGAGGGTAATAATAGACTCCCAAGAGGCATCCATCCTGCTCCACCCATGGCGTGAAGCAGGACACAGACGCCAGCGGCTCCCTGTGGGAGGGGACCACAGGCAGCATGGTGGCAAACACTGCCAACGGATGTGGCAGCATTTGCAAAGTGTTTGTTCTCCTCTTGGCTATTATTCCTTTTCCTTTCTAAAGCCACATTTTATAAACCAATGTCAGTGTTCCGTACTGTGGGTTTCGAAGCCAGCGTGCATGTCGAGAGTTTCAGCATCTGAAGTGCATCTATGTAAACTCTCTGTGATGTGGACACAAAGGTAGAGGTTATGGAGACCTTCAAGCCGCAAGATGAAAGCTAACGTGGCATTTCTGCCGAGCTGCTTTATGACCTAGCCAACAGCTTGCAGAACGTCTGTGGAGGGGGTGTGGAATCCTCGATTCTGCCTTTTGTTTAAATCGAGTCCTACTAGTGTTGTGAGCATCCTGTCATATCAAGAGTAACTGGATCCCTAACTCCTTTGATTACCGTCCTCACACCTGTGTACTGTTATAGCCCAACTGTGAATTCTGTTGTAGGGATGGTATATCTCTGTCTTCCTCTGAAACATGTGTCTGTTTTAAGTGTGAGTGAACAAGGAACGTTGCAATTTTTTCTTACATTCCATGCACCAAATTTTTAAATTCCCTATGTGATGTTTGTTCATCCTATAGAGAAAAAAAAATCTGTATCTGTGTATGTATATTCTGTTGTGTCTCTTTGTGTCTAAATAAAGTTTATTGAGGATACAGGTGGCATTTGTGGCTACTAAGAGTTGCAGAATCAAATTGGGACCTGCTGGCTCCAGAAGGGGACATGGGCTGCACAGTTAACCAGTGAAAGACACACATCAACTCAAACCTGAGACGGCCGGCCCCCATGTCATCTGATTTGTGATAATTATCTATCGCTGTGAAACAAATTACTCTAAAATGTAGCATTTTAAAACAATAATAAACATTTATTACCTCACATAGTTTGTGTGGGTCAGGAATTCAGGAACAGCTGAGCTGGGTGCTTCTGGCTTGGGGTCTCTCACGAGGTTGCAGTCAAGATGTCAGCAGAGGCTGCATCATTTGAAAGCTTGACTTGGAGTAGGAGGACCTGCTTCTAAGATGGCTCACTCACATTGTGCTAGCTGTTGGTAGGAGGCCTCTGTTGCTCCCTATGACATTCTCTCCATGGCTGCTTGACTGTCCTCACAGCATGGTGGCTGGGCTTCCTCCGAATGGGTGATCTAAGAAGGGGAAAGACAGATGCCACAATGCCTTCTATGACCAAGCCTACTGGTTACACACCATCATTTTCACAATATTCGATTGGTTACACAAGTCAGCCCTGTTCAGGATGGGAGGGCACTACACAAGTGTCTGAACACCAGGTGCCGAGGATCACTGGGGGCCATTTTGGAGGCTGTCTACCACACGCCTGTGACCCGTGGAGCAGAGCTACAAATCTGGATCTTTCCAACAGAGCATAGCAACTCTTACTAAGGCTTCTCAACTACAGTGGTTTCCTATCGTTACCCCTACTCTGTATAGATGCTTCGCCCTGAAACACCTAACAGTTCAATCAATACAACACTTTATATACATATATATATAACATAAATATATTAATATACATATATATTATAAATGTTATTGCTTTTGGTTCACACATGCATCCAACAAATATTTCATGAGGCTTGCTATGTGCTAAGCAGTATTCAGAAGTAAACAACATAGAAGCTGACCTTGTGGAACTCACATTCCATTGGGGGAAGCAGACAAAATAAATTGTGGACGATAAGTGCAAGGAGAAAACCTAAAGCAGGTAAGGGCAGCGTGCTGCGGCAGGAAGCTGCTCTTGTCAGGGAAGCTCTCTTGGATAAGTTGATCACTGAGGGAGACCTGCATCCCAGGCAGAGGTGACAGGAAGGCCCTGAAGTAGAAGCTTTCTTGTGGTGTCAAGAAATAGGAAGGAGGCCAGTGTGAGGGAAGCAGGATAGAAGATGAGTAGAAGGAGAAGGGATCGGAGCCATAGGGGAGCCAGATGATGCATTTATCAGGTGGTGGACATAGACTACTTTCAAATTAACTAGACTTCCATCAGAACAGCATAAAGGTGATTCTTTATCCTTGTCTGTCTTTTTGGTTAAAGTCACCTGGAGTATCCAGGAGACGCTATCTTGCCCATGCATGTGGGGCTTTGCTGTGACTGCTGCTTATTATCTGCCCATCTTCGCTTGTTCTGTGGCCTCACCCAGCCCTCCTGTGCATGCGTGATGTATGGGCTGTCCTCCTGGCCATTGCCTTTACCAGATCCTCTTCTCCGTTCCCATCCACCCAGGGCCTCTAAATCCTTTTCTGTCCAGAAATGGACCTTGTGTGTATTTTCCTATTTAGATAATAACTAAAGTTTTATGAGCAAAGAGACTGGGATCAGGGAGGGGGGCTTTGGAAAGGGGGATTCCCTTCCAATATCAGAAACTCTTTATCCCTGCACAGCCCAGATGTCTGGAAAAGGGCCAAGCTCCATGCTGCCTTCCTCCAGAGCAAACTAAGTTCAACTCCAAGCAGCACCTATAAGCAAACCAGCCCCATGTGAATATCCCATGGGAAGGGAGCCACTCAGATGTCTAACATGGGACCCTTGTCCATTGTGTGTATTTAATTCTCTTCCTTTTCTTTCTCTACTTATTTTTTTGCTTCAGCTTCAGTTACTGCCTTGCTGGACCCCCTTTATTCCTTTTTCCCTTCTTCCTACATTTGCCTTAGGCTTTCTGGTGGCCGTGCCCATTGTGTAGCCCCACCATGACTCTCAGAACCAATAGGGTAGCTAACACCTGCTTTAGAGGGTGATATCATTGCGCTACCAACCTGCATCATGGAAGTTAACATGGATTTCTAGTCAGACTCTGATTATGTAAAAACCTAGCATGGGTGGTCTCTGTTCTAAATGGCATTGGGAACCTTCGTGGGAAGCCAGGATGTCACCAACCCTGTCTGCCGCGTCTCACGCCCCAGGGCGTCATGGGGAGAGAAGTGCTCTCTAGCTTCAGTGAGGACTCCTCCAATTTCAGAGAGTAGGGATGAGGATGTGTATAGGTCTGCCTGCTTTATAACAAGATCCACAGGTGCAGGGTAATTCAGTCCTCTCAAATGGAGCCTAAATAAGTGGATATTGCTTTGTTAGGGGGATTGAGACATTGGAAGGAATAGAATTCTGACTATGGAGGCTTCATGACCACCAAAGGCCCCTGCTCTATCTCTATCCTGTTGGGAGACCCCACCTTTTAGCCTAGGAGGTCACACATTTGTTGGCCGGCCTCCTAGGTGGCATAGCACTACCCTAGGCTCACGGGCTCAGAATCTGTACAGACACCCCTCTTCAGGACTTTCTCACTGAATGATGTGCTTTTTCCCTTAATTCTGACTTTTCTTCTTGCTTTCTCCTTCTTCTAAGCAACTACTTCTGCATGTCTCCCCTGGTCTGATTTCTTTCTTTGACCCCCTGCTTGCTCATTCCTTAGGTTAAATGGAAGTTAAGGCTAAGGAAGATATTGATCGGAGTGGCCTTGAGTTTAGTTCCCCCTACAACGTTTTCTCTGTTAATTAGACACGATCATCCAGACTCCCACACAGGAGCCCAAGGCAGTCTTTAGGGAGGCACCGAGTCTGCCCAGACTGTGGTGATGGAAGCCCATGATAAAGGCTTCTATCTAGGGAGCAGTGGGTATTTGCAAGTGCTTTACCACACTGTCTTATTCTCATCGTTACAACAACCCATGGGAGAGCTCTTCCTATCCCCATTTTATGGGTGAAAAACTGAAACTAGAGCAGTTGAGTAACTTGCCCAAGTCAACATCAGACAGTGCTGTTTCATTCCAAATCCAGGCCAATTTCCAAAGATCGCACTCTCAGCCACTGCGCATCCTGCCTCTTGAAGACGGCAGGAGCCAGGCAGGCTAGCAGCAGTGATTCGACGGGACCCACACATGGTAAGCACTCAGTAACCGATGCAAGACGGGAAGTCACAAAAAGAAGACAGACCAGTCACTAGAGCATTAACACCAGCTTAACAGAGTCTGTCCTACCAGAAAGGAAGCTCAGTCCCCTTGATAACTTCTCACGGTCTGTCCAAATGCACACGTCTGCAGGGACCCCGTTCTATTTAGGCAGTTTGGTTAAAATCTCAGTTAGATTGGCTGTTTTTGCGTCTGGTCGAAAAGAAGCCCCACATGTCAATATTAATTCCAATGATCTCCGTTCGTGCATCCCAGGCCACCCCAGGGCTGAGTCCTTATTTGGGGGACAGTTGTGGGGGAGGGGCAGCAAATGGGCATGTGCTTACCGCAGCCACTTTCTGCACTCAGGCTGTGCTCAGAGTGGGGGTGACATGCTGTACTACCTGCTCTCCTTTGGTGTCTCTCACTGTTCACCAGGTCCTTTCCACCATGCCAGGAGCCAGAGAAAGGCGTGTGTATGTGTGTGTGTGTGTGTGTGTGTGTGTGTATGAGAGAGAGACAGAGATAGAGAGAGAGATCTCTGAAGCCTTTGATAAAAGATAGGAGCTTCAAAGTGGTTGGGCCTGGTTGGGCCTGTTTGGGCAGCGGCCGCCATTGCCCATCTGGTTGTTGGTTCCTTCATATGAGCACATGCGCTGAGCACCAGCTCTGTGCCAGACCCTGCTGTAGGCACTGAGGACACAGCAGACACACTTACATGCTAGTGACAAATGACAGAAAGAATGACAGAATTAAATATATGAAGTATGTCAGATGGAGTTTAAAAAGCTCT